CGCGTACAACCACCTAAAGAACCTGTATCAAGCAACAGACAGCGTCAATCAGAGTCGATTAATGGTGCAACTGAGAACAGTGGAAATGAAACCAGGCGAAAAAGGGATGGCGTATATCAGCCGCTGTCGCGAATTGCGTGACAAACTCCTTCGATGCGGAGGGTCGATCTCAGAAGACGCCTTCGTCACAGTCATCATCGGTAGTCTCGGTCCTCAGTGGCGCTCCACCCGCGCCATACTCCGAGCCCACGGAAAAATATCAGAAGCAGCACTCTGCGCCGAGATCCATGCTGAACAGCAAGATATGGACCTGCAAGAAGAACGACACAAGAAGAAGGCATCAGTGCCCGAATTCGCATTCCACACTCAACGGCACTACAACAACAACAACTATCGGCGTCAACCGAAACCAGTACCTCCGTTTTGTCACCTTTGCAAGACGTCAGGTCACCCCCGTACACACTGCCCAAACCGGCCGCTTCGCCCTTCAAGCAGTCAAGTCGCCTCGATGCAAGCGAATCCGACCTCTCAAATACAAGCCTCAACAACATCGACGGGACAACCTGCGCAAGGAACAAGAAATATTGTCAGCTGCATGGCACGGCTGACTGACTCCTGCATCACTGAATCGCCACCGCACTACTCACCAGAAGAAAAACTCGACGAAAGGACTCCACGTCGAGAAACACTGCAACCGAACCCAACGTACGCAGCCATCGCCCAAAGCGAACCGTCCGGAAAGGATACCTGGTTCTTGGACAGTTGCTGCGGACAACACATGTGCTCTTCAGGACGCTTTGTTCAACGCGAACACAAACTTGAACGCGAGGTCGTCATCACCGTCGCCAACAATGAGAACCTGCGCACACGACGACAAGGCGTAGTGCAACTTCAGTCACGAGAGACAAACGTCATACTGCAGATGTCAAAGGTTTTAATAGCAGAAGGGCTCGGTTACAACCTACTGAGCGTCAGTCAACTGATGGCGAAGGGCATACACCTCGAAGCAGATAGCACCACTCAGGAGTTCAAGTTATATCACGGGAAAGGCGGTCTCTACATCGGGAAGGCGGTCCTGAAAAACAACGTCTTCGTCCTCGACTTTGTCCCAGATCTTGGCACCGCTGACAGCGACGGGATTGTCACCTTCACCTCCTGGACACATCCCCCGGATCTCGACCCCGACTTCAGTCCAGAAGGCTTCTGGTACTCGCACACCATCCCCGAGACAGAACGAACAAGAGCATTAGCAACAATTCAATACTCGGCAGCAGCAGAGAAAACATCGGCAGAAGAGACGACATCGGCAACAGCAAAGACAACATCGACAGCAGCAGAAACAACGGCAGCAGAAGCAGCAACATCGACACCAATTATTGGTCCTTCAACTGCATCGGCTTCAACCGACGACACTCCACCGACTCCTACACAACAACTTAACCCAACATCACGAGAAGTACATCGAAGCGCAAACTTCACCGCAAGCTTCTACTCCAACTCCGACTTGTACCGTCGTTCACCCGGACATCGAGCTGGCGAAGACATCTGGCACGCACGAATGGGACATCCAAGCAACACGGTGTTAAACAACACAATCAGAGCAGGAGTACTCGACAAAGATTCACTGCTCCTAACCGATGGAAGCGAACTTCGACGAGCTCGTGGAACGTGCTATACCTGCCCCGAAGCTAACTTACCCCATCGGCCGTTCACTTCTCACCTTAACCCCAGCGCACCAGCTTACGAACCACTTGAGAAAGTGTACAGCGACATCCTGTACAATCGCGAATCTGGACAAGGAACATACAGCTACACCATCACGTTCATCGATGCCGCTACGCGTTACGTTTGGCACCTTAACCTTCCGAGCAAGGACATGGCTTTCGAGGCCTTTGTCGCTTGGCTCCCAGTAGCAGAACGAGAATCAGGCGTGAAGCTAAAAAGCTTTCAGTCAGATGGAGGAGGAGAATACACCTCACAGAGGTTCAAGTAGTACTTGGCAGAAAGAGGAATCAAGAAGCTCATCTCGCTTCCCTACGCCCATCAGCAGCAAGGCGTGACAGAATGGATGAATCAAACTCTCCAGAACACCATGCGCAAATTACTGCGTGGCATGCGACTGCCCAATCACCAGTGGCCTGAAGCGATGGACCACGCTGTCATGCTGCACAACTTGCTTTCGTCATCGTCACTACCGAACAACGCATCACCGCATCTGCTGTGGACAGGAAAACAGGGCAGCACAAAAATGTTAAGAGTTTTCGGCTGCATGGTACAGTACCGACCCCCATGTGCACGAGCCGGCCGATTTTCTCAACGCGCACAGTGGGGACTACACCTGGGCATCGAAAGAAATTGCAACGCGTGGAAGATTTTCGACATCCACTCCAAAGAAACAGTAGCAGCACGTGATGTCATTTTCTACGAACGACTCACCCTTCCGACGTATCTTGCCAACCTGGAAGAAGACCGGGACCCCACAGGCGGCTTCCGTGGCGACCGAGCCTTCGCCTCAGCAGCAGACGAAGCTGACTGGGACGAGCAGAACGTGGATGAAGCCTCGGAGGAAGCCGGACCTCTTCCTTACTGCTCCGTCGATGTCCCAATGGATGACAAAAATCCTCGTGAAAGCGCCAACGCCAACGTCTTTTACCACTTCGCCGACACCGGTTACGTTACACCTGCAGAAGTTCACACCAACGAAGAAGAACGCGTAGGGCCAAATTTCATACCTGACCCAGAAGCAGGTGACGAAGCAGCTTATCCCGCGGACACAACTCTCCCCCGCTACACACAGAGTGGCCTCCAGATACTCGGGCTCGTCACCGTGGTCCACGGCACGGCGATTCCTAAGGAGCCTGCCACAGTTCAGCAGGCTCTGGGGGGGGAGCATAAGGAAAAATGGCGTGAAGCCATGGACAAGGAACTGAAAGCACTGGAGGAGCGCAATACCTGGAAAGTTGTTCCTATCGGCGTAGCACGAAACAAGACAGTACTCACCGGGAAGTGGGTCTTCCGTGTGAAAACAAAGGCAGACGGCACCATCGACAAGTTTAAAGCGCGCTGGGTCGTACGCGGTTTCGACCAAGAGCACGGACGTGACTTCACCGAGACATTCGCTCCGGTCAGCCGGCACAACTCACTACGAATTCTCCTCGCGATCACCGCCATGAAGAAAAAGAAACTGCGGCAAATTGATGTCGCCAACGCATTTCTCTACGCACCTGTCGACGCAGAAATCTTCGTCGAACTACCACATGGCTCCAACGGAGAACCTAATCACGTCTGTCAGCTGCTGAAGTCATTATACGGCATCAAACAGGCCCCAAGACTGTGGCAGCAGTACCTACACGCTCGACTTACTCGCATCGGATTCCGGCAGCTACCGCACGACCAAGGCATGTACCGGCTCACGAAAGGCGACGACTATATTCTACTAATCGTCTACGTAGACGATCTACTCTACATCGGGTCGACCGACAACGTCACTACCTGGTTCGAAGGGGAGCTACAGAAATACCTCACGCTCACAGTATCATCTACCGTCACGCAGTACCTCGGCCTCAACATCCAGGAAGGAGAAAGCGCGATCTACCTCAACGCCGCAAAATATGCCGACACCATCGCCAAACGCTTCGCACTTACGCCAACTACCATCTCTACGCCATAGCGCTACACGGCAGGAAACAACAAATCCGCTCCACTAAGGCCCGCCGGCATACGCGACTACCAGAGAAAGCTGGGATGCCTTCTCTTCGCAGCTGTCACTTGTCGTCCGGATCTATCGTACTCCGCAAGTCTGCTTGCGACCTACCTCAAGAAACCTGAAGCAGAGCACATGGCGGAACTCGACCGTGCTCTCCACTACCTCGTCAGCACTTCAACCGTCGGTCTAACCTACCACAAGAACGGGGCTACGACACCTAAACTAATCGGATACGTCGCCGATCACGCCGGCGACTCCGACAACAGACGCTCACGCACCGGCTATATCTATCGCTTTGAGCCTATCGGACCTATCTCCTGGCAGTCGAGCAAGCAGGAATTAATCGCTCTCTCCTCAGCTGAAGCTGAATATATCGCACTCTGCTCAGCCACCAAGGAAGGACTGTGCCTTCGCGAACTTCTGGAGGAGGCGAAGCTGGCTCAGTTACCCAGCTTCTCCTTGTTCTGCGACAACCAGTCGGCAATTCGCATAGCCAACAAAAACGGATTCGCGAACAGGACGAAACATATCGCCCTGCGATATTTCTTCGTAAAAGACGAGTTCGAGAAGGGGAGACTTGAGCTGTCTTACTGTCCCACGTCCGAGATGGCAGCTGATTACTAGACCAAGAAGCTCGGGAAGCAGAAGTTCGAGTACTGCATGCTGCTGACTGGACAAAGCCACGTCACCAGCAGCGACACTCCAGAAGCGAAGGGGAGTGTTGGAAACAATTAATTTAGCGCCTTTGTCGTGTCGAAATACCAAGACAGAAACGAAGCGAAACATATCGAAGCATCAGCGAGTCAACCCTCGGAGGTTGAACAACTGCTGGAGGTTACGAGAAAGTCAAAGGTTAGCGACCTTTGACCTGACAAATACAGCGTGACAGCAAGGACAAACAACTGACTCACTATTGAGCAGTTGCCCGAGTCGTCACTGTATCGAACCGCAACAGCATAAGTAAAACGGTTATTATCTATATCTCTTCGTATTCCTTGTACTCTTATAAAAAGCTTGTATCTGTTTGTTTTAATTAATCTACTTTGTCCTCACATACTAGCGCAAGGTGGTTCACAAGTCTCTTATTTAACGCTTCCGCTATTACATCATCATACTCAGAATTTAGTCCTGCAAAAGATCCTAAGGGCTTTTCTCAGCCCAACAAATTCATGTCAATTAAGCAAGCAGTGGCACATGGTAGGCCACAGGAGTCACAAAATACAATCAAGGCAGCCTCTCAACACCCAGCTAGCTCCACTCTTCACCCACCACCTTGGAATCCGCCCCCGCCTTGCTACTCATCTTCGTAACCCGCCACCCACTCCTCTACCTCAGCCCCCTCATAGCGACCAGGGGCCCACCATTCATCCCCTTCGTCGCTCCACTCGTCAGCTTCGTTCGCGTTTCCATCGTGGGACTCGCTCGAGTCTGACTTAGCAGGTACTGCCTCCTCATCGGCCTCCTCTGCTTCATCGGCCAGCACGGCCTCCTCCTCCATCTCGACAGTCACATCGGGAGGGGTGACCACAGGGGCCGGGTAGAACGGGTTGGGGACCAGTTCATCCTGCTCCTCCTCCATCACGTCTTCCAGCACCTCCACCTCGCCGGAATCCCGCATGTGCGCCAGGATCAGATGATCCTGGCTCCTGTCCTCTGCGTTGGAGATGCCGCAGGTGAGGAATGCTTTCCTCACCATCTCCTCGGGAACGTCGGCCCACGCCTCGTCAATCCACTTCAGGACGAGTTCGGCCGGCGGTTTCTTCAGGTTGCCTGCGGGTTGGGGCCAAGGGTAAGGGATTGTAGGGTGTATGGTTGTGTGATTCGACTGTTCTTACATCGACAACACGCCCCCATTGCTTCATACAAGGGCTCACCTGTGGGAGTTGTGCTTGTGATCCCGTCCTCCTCGAACCAGGTGCCGTAGCGGTGTCGGATGCCCGCCTTGAAGGCTTCGCCAACAAGGCGACGACGACACGCCGCTGAAACAAGGATTCGCTCCTTCAATTTCTGCCATTCGCGAATCTGCTTCGGTTGCAAGTTAGCTAGCCGCGCCAACCCCCGGATGCTGAGATCGGGCTGCGTGTATAGCATATCCAGCCAGTACAGCTTCTCCCTCGCCGTGTACGCATGCCGCCCCTTCTTCATCATACGGTGGCGAGGCGAGGCGGGGGGACGGGATTCTGACGTGCCTGAATCGGGCGTTGACACCATGCTGACACCATTTTTCTGCCTAATGCTATGCCTGGCATTCTTCGCGCTCTGAATTTAATATGCCGTGCTAGTCCCTCTATGCTAGACTCTGCCGAGCTGCGCTCCCCATTGCACAGAGGTGGGTCTGTTCCCTGGCGGTGTCAAATTCGCTTGTGCACGAGACGTGAAAGAGATAGCGCGACTCTGTGCTGAGAGCCTCAAGGGATGAGACGTCCGAGGCGGTCTGACACAAAGCATTGGACGTGGTACACGTTGGTCAGCCCCCAATATGTAATGCTGGTTACCATTGAATACGGGCCAATGAGCATGAAGCATTCATATGCTTCATGGATTGTGCCCGGTTTCTCGGCTCAAGACATTCGCGGGGTGTTTCTGCTCTTGCTAAGAACCCTGTGTTGCATGGACTCACGAAGCACATGAGGGTGAAGTGGCATTGGATGAGGAGCATGGTAACCGCGGGTGAAGTTGAGTTGCGCTACGTGAAGACCACGGGGCAGCCGGCTGACATGATGACCAAGAGGCTGGTGGAGCAGCAGCATTGGAAGTGTTGCAAGCTGGCTGGGATGGCTCTGAACTGAGAGAGCAACATATCCTAAGGCCAACAATCCGAGGGGGAGTTTGTTGGTGCAACCCTACGGTTTGCACTCGGCTTGTTGTCCGTGTGCGTGAATGTGTGTGTGTATGGAATGGTATGAGGGCATGGGATAATATATATTTCATGCTTATAATTGTGTGTGAATGTTGAGTCATGATGTCGAGTGTGTGTGTCGAGTCAATAGCGAGTTATCGCTAGACGCGTGTTACGCGGTCGTTTGTGTCTCGCGCGCGGTTTCTATTTTGTCGTGCGCGGTTTCTATTTTGTCCTGTGTCGAACGTTCGGCGTGTCGCAGGTGTGTGCAGCAGACCCATCAAGAACTCAAGGATGAGTTTGTGATGAAGAGCCCGAGCCTTGGTGTCAAGCCTCAAGTGATTTCGAAGCTTGCCAAAAGGGTACACCTCAAGATATTGAAGATAGTTACATTACTTTGTGTAGTGTAACATTTCACTTGGTGTAGGCCCTAGTGAAGGGTAGTTTCGAGACCCTTCGTGGTTGGGGACAGTGTGGCACTGTTCCACATCACTGTACCTCGGCTCTTGGGGTTTGTAGGAGCTGGGAGTCATTCCCAACTCGTAACTCTTCCTATCTTGTGTTCTAAGACTATAGTGGCTGCCATAGTACCGTTCGTTCAAACCGACGCTGTGTCGTCAATTCTTTATCAAATCGTGCAATCTAAATTGCTAATTGTAGACGACGTGAAGACGCTCCAGATCCAATTTGAATCAAGTAATTTGCAGCTGTGAGCAGAACGCTATCAACGTTTGAAGCCGCTGTGCAGAAATCCGTCTGTGCTCTCTATCTTTCGTTTTAGGCACATTCAAGCCTATTGTGACTATAACAAGTGGTATCAGAGCCCCTTGGAGCAGTTTCGACAATGTCTGGACCTGAGGAAAGGGGTGGCAGAGGTGCTGGTGGCAGTGGAGAAGCTCAAGCTCAAGGCCAACCCCGTGATTCAGCCATGGCGCCCATGCAACCAAGTCTTGGCCCACCTAGGGATGAGCCTAGGGTGTTTGGGCTTGACAAGTTCAACGGTGACAACTTTGCTGAATGGTCCTTCAAGATGGAGAACATCTTTGACCACTATGACCTGCTGGAGGTGATGGAAGGAACGGAGAAGCGCCCCGAGAACGACCCGGAGAAGAGCCCGTGGGTGCGGAAGAGCGCACAAGGCTATCTCTTACTTGGGCAAGCGTTGGGGAGCAGTCAGATCCGTCACATCAAGCCATTCCAGCGTGAACCAGAGAAAGGACCAAAGGCATGGGCTGCTCTCAAGGGTGTACATGCTCCTGCAACAGCGGCGGTAGCGGTGGTGTTGGAACGGCAAATGGCGGCACTACGAATTGAAGAAGACGAAGCGGTTGAAGAAGGGGTGCAGAAATTCTTCGACTTGTTGACGCGGCTTGAGGGAGCTGATTTGAACTACAGTGAGCTCCAAAAGAAGACCAAGTTGCTGGTCTTACTCCCAGAGTCATGGTCCTCGCTCATCATCAACCTTAATCGCGACTTGCCCCGCCTCTCGCTTGAAGACGTGAAGCGAGCTATCCTTCAAGAGGATTTCCGCCGCCGTGAGTTGGCGAGTGCGGATGGCGCTGGGGCAGCGAGCATCGGCCGTGGATATGGTCGAGGAAGAGGCAGAGGACGAGGGGGAGGAAGGTTTGGTGGCAGCAACTTCGGCGGAGGCCGCAGGAGTGGCGGTTACGGCAGCGACGACAAGAGCTACGGACGCGGTCGCGGCCGATTCGACGGCGAGTGTCACTATTGCCACAAGAGCGGACACATGTGGCGCGACTGCTACAAACTCCCTGATGGTTGGACCCCTGCTCAAGGCCAAGAGGGTAGAGGAGCAGGAGGAGGGAGAGGACGAGGCCGTGGAGGCCGTGGCGGTCGCGGTGGCGGAGCTGCAAACATGAAGAGCGGAGACAACGACAAGGACCCGAGCGACGATCGATACCCGGGTCTATTCTACTTCGTGTCGACGCAAGTACCGGCTGGTCCAGAGAAGGATGAAGGCTTTGAGGAGCCAGCAGCTGTGGGGAAGGTGACCCTACACCCCCTGGACTATTGGGTGATTGATAGTGGCGCTACCTATAGCATGACACCTCGCCCGGACTTGCTCACCGAACTCGAGCCGTCACCGGTGAAGCATGTCACATCGACTTTGGGGCAGCGAGCAGAGGTGAAAGGCATGGGCAAGGCCATGTTCAAGGGTGCTGATGGGAAGATGGTGGGCCTCAAGAACGTGCTTTGGGTGCCCAGCCTTGCTGCAAACCTGATTTCCGTGCGGCGGTTGGCAAAGGCCGGCATGGACACGAACTCGAAGGGAGCCAAGACCTACACCGCAAGGCTTGGCGATCGAATTCTTTGGGACCTTCATGAGGACAGGGATGTCTACAACGAGATGTGGCAGATCCCAGTGGTCCCTATGCCTAAGGAGAGGCAAGTGGCAGCAAGCATCAGCACCAAGGATGGAGCGGTCGGTAGCGACGATGGCGCGAACGGTCGCGCTAAGGAGAATGAGCTCAAGAAGAGCAAACCTGGAGGGACCAGCAAGTTCAGTGAACCTAAGGAGAGTGTTGCAGCAACCAAGGAGCAGCAAAAGGGTGAGGAGAACCCAGAGGCAGCAGCGGAGGAGGACTACGGAGAGAGTATGTGGGGCGCTATTGCGAGCGCGGCATTCTCCAATCCAACTTCGGCTACGGGGGAGTGTGATTGGCTCACCTTGCATCGGCGCATGGGGCATGTGGCCCTGCCCATCTTGCAGCAGCTAGTGAAGAATGAGATGGTTGCTGGCATACGTGTGAAGGGGGAGCCCGATGAGGTGCTTGGCTGCCCGACGTGCATTCAAGCCAAGTTCACCCGGTTTCCGTTCCCTAGTTCGGAGGCAACGGCAAAGGCACCGCTTGATGAGGTGGTGATGGACGTGGTGGGCCCCCTGAAGCTTGGAGCTGCTGGAGCTGAGTATTTTCTCACCATTGTCGACGTCTACACCCGCATGACTTGGGTGTACGTGCTGGCCAAGAAGAGCGACGTGGCTGAAACGTTGAAGACGGATTGGTTCCCGATGGTGGAGCGGCAACAAGACCGTCTAGTCAAGTCAATCCGCACCGATCGAGGGGGAGAGTTCCTGAGCAAGGAGTTTGGGTTGTGGCTGAAGAAGAATGGTATTCGGCACTCCCTCACCATGCCATACTCCCCTGCAATGAACGGCATCGCCGAGCGAGCGAACCGCACAATCACGGAGGCGGCACGCGGGTTGCTCATTGAAGCCGGGCTACCCGACTATTTCTGGCCTGATGCGGTGCGGAGCGCGTGTGTGGCCAAGAACAGAGCCTTGACTCATGTGGGAGCAGACAAATGGGTGCCCTATGTGGAGTGGCTAGGAAGGAAGCCAAAGGTGGATATGCTTCGGGTGTTCGGGTGCATGTGCATGGCGCTCGTGCCTAAGCATCTTCGGCACAACAAGCTTGGTGCCAAGGCGGTGTGGGCCGTGCACTTGGGCATGGCTCAAAACAGCAAGGGATGGCTTCTTTGGGACCCATTCACCAAGAAGTTCTTGGTGAGCAGGGACTGCAAGTTCATGGAGAACTTCATGTACAAGGATTGGAAGGCGGAGAATGAGGCGAAGATAGGCGTGCGGTTTGGGGAGGTGAAGAGTTCCGGTTTGGAGCATGTGGAGCTGCCTTTGGAGCTGAGCAGCGGCAGCACAACCACAAGGCAATCCTCCCTTGTGAATGGGGGAGAGGAGGCCAATGATGCAGAGGAAGAAGAGGAGGAGGTGCAGCAAGTGAGCGAGCGTGCACCGTCACTCCTTTCCCGTACTACGAGTGCTCCACGGATTCGAGCCACACCGCAGCAACGCCAAGGCCTTCAAGTCCTTGCAGCTGAGGAGGAAGGAAGGGGGAAGAGGAGAGTTCAACCCCCTAATAGGCTGACCTATGATGCGCCGGGAAAGCAGGGCAAGACAGCCCTGGCCGGAGCGGCAATGATGGTCGGAGACGACGAGGAGAGTGACTACGAGGAGTGTGCCTTCGCGTTCTTCTCTCCGGTGGAGATGCCGGGAGAACCAGCAACTCTCAAGGAGGCTTTGGAGAGTAGTGATGCTGAGGAGTGGAAGAAGGCCATGGAGAGTGAGCTGAAGAGCATCGAGGAGAATGACACGTTTGAATTGGTGGAGCTACCGGAGGGGCGTACGGCGATAACGTCCAAGTGGCTCTTCAAAATCAAGTCGGATGCCGACGGGAAGATCGAGCGCTACAAGTCTAGGCTTGTAGCCAAGGGGTAC